TCCTTTTTCCCGCTAATGCTTAATTTTGTTATATTTGTTATGCCATCAGAAGTATATGTAAAACAGTTTCGCACGACTATTAAGACATATCGTGATGCTATAAAACGACGTTTAAAATAGACTTTAGTAAAGCAAACTTAACCCTTTACGACCGGATGTTGTCTAAAGGTAGCAGTTTGTCGTAGGGGGTACAGCGTTTTCTAAAAAGTTCGCCGTGAAAAATTGATCTCTATAACTAAATAAAAAAGAATATATAGAAACAAAACTTTTCGCTTGTTGTCTTCTGGTAGCCGGTCGTAAAGGGTTAAAAGAATAATTTTTTTCGAAAAATAAACGTGTACTACTTGCTTTTCAGGAAAGTATTTGTCTTTGCTTTTCAGATATGATATTCGTCTGGGTTTTACTTTTATTTTCTGGTATATATCCAAATATTCAATCTCTATCATGTATTAACTTGGGATATGTAGCAAACATATCTATTAATACATTTGATCGAAATGTCTTAGAGGCGCTACTTGATGGTTATGAAATGGATGGAAATCATTCTAAATGTCTTGTGCAGATGGTAGTTATGCACCGTGGGGAACAATTAGATCTAAAGTTTAGTAAAATGCTTCAAAATGAACCCATCTCACTTAATACTGTGAAGTTTCTTACATTGGTAAGGTATATCGATAAAGATGACACAGTGGCTGCACATGCTTTAACATCTGCATGTTCAAACTCCGACGGTTGTGATAAACGATTTATACTCGATCATGTTGACTGGCTCATTCGGATAAAGTTTGATGAGTTCTTCCGAATTACTTTTCAGCTACTCATACCTGAAGATGATGCACTAAGTAAGTATCTTGAGGGTGAGTGCAAGCGCAGATATTTCTGCTTTCTCAAACACCTCTCCATTGTCGCGCACACTTGATCCTGAAATAATCTTTGTACAACATATATAGACCACAATCTCTTCGGAAAATTGATTGGACGGGTAGCTTATCGAAAACCATTAGATCACATAATGAATTCTTTTATTCAAACTCACTTATAATATTTTTCAGACAGATGCCATCTTGTCCAATGTGGTCATAGTTTTTGTGGCGCTATGTGGACACATGTTGAAACCGATATTAAACAAAGCTGTAGTAATCTACCACGAGCTCAGTTTCAGGCTAGAAATGATTTCAATGTCAATACTCGCGAGGAAACTGCATCGTATGGTTTCTTTTGTAATTATGCACAGTGCAACAACTTAGATATTATTAAAAAATTGCAAGACAATGTTAAAGAAAACTACGATCTTTTATCACTGCGCAATGCACTCGGTTTTCGCAGCGAATCGAATGAACCTATAACAACTGCAAGCTCGACACTCAATATCACATTTTCTCAATATTTAATTGAAACTATGTCAAACGTGTCCTCACCTATGATAACCAATGTGTCCGCAAAGCATATGTCAGCTTCTACACTTGCTACAACAGAAGCGAACGGTTGTATCACATGGCAATTTCGAAGAAAAAATATTATAGTGAGTTTGGCTGCACTTATAATCCTTTTAATTGTTTATTAATCCACTCAATTTTATCGATCGCAACCAACATAAATTCATTTTGCTTTCTACATCAAGCAATAAATGTCTGCTTCTTTCAGCTGTGAACTATAATAAAATATGAATTGTTGCACATCAATTGTCAGTGCTTATATTAATGATACTTACCTGGTCGAATCTGCTCCTTTTTTTCTTCTCTGCTTTATATTTGCCTAAACATATGTATGCTAATCAAATAAATTAATACATTGAATACAACATTGATGTGTTACACAAGCCAGCGTATGCGATAGTGTAGATACGACTGAGATAAAGAGGATGTGAGTGAGTATCGCATCTTGAGGGTGTGAGTTTGAAAATAGGATTAAAAAGAAACTTTAATTAGAAATCTTTTCATTTGTCCACGATACAATCTAATCGTATTTATGTGACGTATCCACAGCGATGTGCTCAGATAAGTACGAAAAACTTATCCAAAAAGAGCATGAAATCAAAGCAGGACTTGAATCCACATCTTCCAATAACCGGTCGGCTATTTTACCAATTAAACTATTTGATTTTCTCTTTAGTTAATTAATAAAAACATATTAAACAATCAAAATGAATATAGATATAGAATGTTCAGGACAATAATTATCAAATGATTATCTAATAAAGAATCTTTGTTGTTGCACGAGGACTAACGAGGGAGATTTCCTAGGTGTTTAAAGCCTTTAGGTCCCATCTTTTGGCGACAAGTAGACATCAATGAGGTATGAAAAACCCCAAGAGGATTTGTGCTCTTGCGTCTTTATTGGCAAGATATCGAATTCTCAAGGTACATACAAAAGAGACTGAGTTGAAAAATAATCGTTTTCAGATAGTAGCACAGTATTCAAGTGAAAATATTTCAAGACGTCGCGTATCACTCGTGTAATCTATTCCGGATTTAGTGCTAGGTCATATCTCATCAATAGCACTTCTGTAGGCTGTTTATCAGAGCACAGACGACCCATAACTCTTCATTTCACATTGGATTTCGCTATTTGTAATAGAAAAGCGTGCACAAGAGTGAATCAATGAAAATGATAGTTCAGATAAAAGTGATTGAAACATAGCGGTTTGGCACACCAGCTGCAGCAGATAAAAGGAGCTGCGCTGTACGAAGGTGCAGCGCATATCGTTGCATTGAAAGAAGGTCACACTTCACCTAGTGTTTTGAAGGACTCGGGATATTTGTCTATGTAGCCGCTCGCATACCAAGCGTACTAGATCATCGGACGAAATACCTTGACAGAGAACTGGTTGTGAGTAAGAGACATGAGGCGACTGATGTTATTCCGTTCGCTCATGTTAATGTCAAGTTCATTGAGTAGCACGCGATCGTATAATCCTCGAGGAATCACTTTCATCTACCTGTTGGAAAAGACATCGACTTCAAAGATGTGGGAGTGACCACTAGTAATTGATTGCAGAACATTTCACAACAGATCGGCTACTTCGCATTCACGATGTGTGACTATAGTGGCGGAGGTCGTACTATTTGATACAGTAGACGATAAGTTTGATGCTCGATCGGGGAAAATCTTCAGAACGTTTGTGGAATTAATCATTTTGGACTTTATGTAAAGAAACCGATATCGGATGGTTGCTGGTATTTCAATTGTATGTCAGAAACAACATCGTGACAGGATACCGAAATGAAAGAAAGTAGAGAAACGTAAACGAAGAACACGTGTAGTTATCAGTTCAACATCTTGGTATGCCGGCCAGAAAGATGAAAAGATAATTGCTAATGTATTTTTGGCTCTCAATAATTTTTCACAGAGTATAATGAAATCCAATGCGAAATGAAGAGTTATGGGTCGCCTGTGCTCTGATAAACAGCCTACAGAAGTGCTATTGATGAGATATGACCTAGCACTAAATCCGGAATAGATTACACGAGTGATACGCGACGTCTTGAAATATTTTCACTTGAATACTGTGCTACTATCTGAAAACGATTATTTTTCAACTCAGTCTCTTTTGTATGTACCTTGAGAATTCGATATCTTGCCAATAAAGACGCAAGAGCACAAATCCTCTTGGGGTTTTTCATACCTCATTGATGTCTACTTGTCGCCAAAAGATGGGACCTAAAGGCTTTAAACACCTGGGGAACCTCTCTCGTCAGTATATATTTTTGAATTTGTTACGAAGTAGTTTATATGATGATACGCTGAAACGAAGACGAGATAATGAATGATCTATAAAAATAACGTTCATATTCTTATGAATGATGTTATCAACACAAAACATCATCCTATGTTAGTCATTCAGTCGGGGATAAGGAAGTCAGTCTCGACGAACATTACTTGTTATTACAACGATAAGCACACGCATATATTTAAAAAAAACGTAGGAAACAAAAATTACATGAAGAATATTGATATCTGCTCATTCAGCCATAACTCAACATGCTTTAACCAACGCAAGCCACAAAAACGCTCTTCATTTGCTCGAAGAACAACGACACGGGTAACTGCTGTATTTTTACGTCTATCATTGCAGGTATTTATCCATCGATTATCCAACAAACATCATCATATTTCTCACCATAATCAAATAATCGGTACCGGAACCACAACTTTTATTTGTGTACTAACTACAATAAATATTTTACTAACATTTTTTGCAACTCGATCAGTCAAACAGCAATCCACACCAACATACAACGTCCTCTCAAGGACAAATCTTATTTACAAATTTCAACCGCATATTTCATGATCACACCATACGAACACATGAAATGCGAGATAGACCAGTACCCTAAACTCTTTGCGCGTCCTAGCATAGCGTTAGAAAATAGAATGATAATCACCTACCATAAAATCATCACCAACGAACTGATTCTTTCCCACATTGTTCAAGGATATTTCGCATTGATGTTGAACACATTTCAGCAGTGCCTTCTTCCTTTTTTTCGACGGAAGATCTAGATGAGATGTGTTCAGCATCAAGCAGGTATTCCTTCGGCGTTTTTCCTATACAGACTTCTCATCGGCGTGGAACGGGTCCTGTAGATTTCATATAGCTCTGTGGGAGAAATTGCGCTGGGAAGGTTTTTATGTGGATGGAATACATATAAGGATATGGATGATTCTCATGTAGTAAATGCAGAAGAGTTATATCACTGGCAGACTCAAGACATGGTGCTAAATTGCGAATGGTTATCTTTCTGATTTCGAAGTTATTTTATGAAATATCAGATAAGTCACAGGTTCAGCTATCAGGTCGTATTGATTTGTGTTACTTGTTTTCCGGCATAGAAAGTGGATTAGGTTTGCTCAGTGTCTTGTGTTGCGCGTAAGGAGTCGAAAGGATTAGCTGAACATTGTATTACTGAATGGTATGTCTTCCAGCGGATGTATACTATAATTGATGAAATATTTAAGGAGAGTGGTGTTTTCTTAAGCTTCTTGCTAGTGAGTGGCGAACACTTGTGTATAGAATAATCGTGACCAATCGTCTAGCAGTGTTTAGACAGAATAAATCAAAAGTGTAGGAGTTCACCAGAAAAATATGAAATGCAGATGTTTTAGGACAAAACACATATCTAGAGACACTATTGGTGCAGGATGTTAAGATGTCAATCAGACATTATGTACCCAAGACTATAAAGAAGTTGAGCATTTTGTTTGATTAGTACACCGCCTGTTAAACTGCATTTCAAAAAGGAGAAAATATATCAAAAGATGTAGCGTAAAGAACTCTACAAGTTATGAAGAGGTTTTGTAAGCGGCGTGGCCAAGCGTTACGGCGTCCCATGTTGTCAACTTTTGAAAATCATATTTTGTCAATAACAAGCGATATGCTTATGAGATCTTAGATATAGATGAGGATTAACTAGCTCTACTAGCACTGAAAATTCCATTGAGTTATCACAAGTCATTGTGACGTTACTTGGAAAACGTACAAGGTAACTTAAAAGACTGAGTGTTACGGAATTTGGTCAATTTGTTTCTTATTTTCTACCGAGGACAGTTTGGGGACCTTTTTTTATGATAACTATAACTATGAAACTTAGCATAAACGACTAAGAATATTGCTTTCTATGAATTGAATATTTCATTTTCAGCTTCTTTTCAAAATTTTATTAAAAACCTCTTTCATTATTTTAACAAAAAAGAAAAGTAAAATCAGTTAATTTTCGTAATTTTGTTTTTTTAAATTCATAAGAAAGAAAAACGATCATGGTTTTATATGTCAGCTCTGCAATTCGATATGCAGATCAAACCTATTTATATATTTCAAAATCATAGTCTGCGTAACGAAATTTTTAACCTTACTCAACGAAGGAACGGATGGCTGCCTGTGCTGTAAAAGCATGAAATAAGAAAAACAGAATCATTTTCGTACTGTCGAAGTATGATCACTAAAACTTTCGCATATTTGAAGAAGAAACGGCGTAATTATAAAATAAGCAGTCGTCTATTTATTGTAGCGCTTTTCGCAGTGCATCTGTTGGTGTATTTTGTTTCTATAAGGGGTGAAGTTAATTACGAAAAACCTGAATACAAGGCGCAACCTTTCACCATCTATTTTTACAGCTTCTCTGTATGCTATTACTTTTCGTCTTTTTTCAAGTATATTTAGGAGAGAGAGCAGTAGGAAATAAATATGAGAAGAAAAGAGAGATAACTGCTGAGAAAATCATTTTATTTCATACAGAAATGAAAGAAAGTATTCAAGCTTTCGTACTACGCATCCGGTGTACATCATCAGGAAATGTGTCGACATTGTGAAAAGATATTCGAGAGGACAAATGAATTTTGTGTAGCGAAGTATTGCGTTGACAGGAGTGATTGTGATGATACCATCGTTTCGTTAGGTAAACCATAAATTTGAGAGGATAACCAGCATGGAGATTGTTCAGTGGTGAGTGTCAATGAGAGAAAGTTAATAAGCCCATTTGAAAACAACATGTTAATAAAACAACAATGATAACATAAAATAGTGATGTGGTAAGTAGTTTGTCACAAAATCATACATCGAATATGAATAAAATGACATAAAATATCACATTAAAACGCGTCAGTTAGTATGTATCGATTGATAGATTAATGAACAAATGGATCAGTGATTATGATAGAAGATAACAACATACGTGAAAATATGAGTGAAGGTCAGTTTAAGTAAAGATGACAGTAAGTTAAAAGTATGAAAAGTTAACAATATTGATAGTGGACGACAGGTTAATAGCATTAAATCACCAATTAGATTGAAGATTGAAAGTGAGACAAATAAATAAGGTGAATGAGACATGTTTGGTAGAATGTGAAACTAAATACACTGGTTTATACATTGGTTAATACAGTTATTCACAGTTGGTAGATAGAGAAAAATAAATTATCTATTGAAGAATAACATCAAGAGATGAGACAGTGTTTATTTAAAGGTAACAACAGGTATAATGAAGAGCAAAAACGGTGACATTGAACAATGTGGTTAACTACATTAATATGATAACATTCATTCTCGTATCAGATTCATGATGTTATATTAAGCGAAATTGAGAAGTGTCGAAAGATTAAATCTGAAATATAGATCAGAGGTGTTACTTCTACAATGGTGATCTGAATGCTATCCGATGGATGGTGTTTGTTCAGAGGCCTACAGATAAGTCTTGATAATCTGAATTCGTGAGATGAAAGGAACGTTTAGAGGTCAGTGAGATAGTGATTGAGTTAGATACATTGAATATGTAATTCTTTTCACTGACTAGTAGAGATTCGTTCGATGATAATATAGTTGAGGATTTCGCACCAGTATTCTGCTCCTGTTAATGTGTAACTTAGATGAAAACTGATCGTTATGAAGTGTTGAGCTTTCGATTGATTTGCTATCTACAAACTAAAAAGGAGAATGTCATTTAAATTCGTTCTTCTATCTTTACAATCATGTGTCGGATAAATATATATGAATCTGTTGATGAGAGAGATATATACATAGAAGGTAAATGTAATGACAGAACCATATTAACAAGTGTGTCAATGCTTTTAGATGTATTGGGAGAGATGCGGAGAGTGTCGGCCTAGTTGGTATAGCGGATCACTTCTCACAACATCATCTTCAATAATCTTCCGGCATAACAATTGTTGCTACGGGCTGTATATAATGAATAGATTCTGATGATTTTCTTTTCTATGTTTAGAGAAGAACGAGATGAGTATTGAAACACAGTGATATGCGACAAAGAGAGATTTCTAAGTGACAATGTGCAAAGTCAAGAGAAACTAATCAACTGAATGTTAATTATTTGTGAGGTTCAAATTGAAGAGATAGAAGGGGAGACAAGAATAGAAGAAGAAAGAAAAGTGAATAAATGTATGAGATTAAGAGGAGAAATTGATCTATGAATGATTAGCTGTTTGTCTGAACAATATAGACTAATTATTGTGAAGATGGAGGATGGAGAATGAAAAAGGGAAGAGAAAACTTTCTTTATTGTCTGACGAAACTAGATCGTAATTTGGATTGTATTGATGAACATATAAATAAGCATGTAGTTATGCATATCTTCATTGCAATCAATTTCTCTCATCTTTTAAGCTTATTATTGTTTTAACATGAATGCTATTTGTGAAAATGGTCTTTACAACTTATGCTCGTGCAAAAGGAAATAGCACTTGCCGATGAATTTACCATTGTACGACGGCCATTGTCACTTTGACTTGTTTTTCAAGTATAATTTAAATGAAGATGAATTTTACTCACAACTGTCACATGGGAGAAAACTCGTCTTGATCGATAACCGTCATCAATTTTACAGATGGTTCGTAAATTACGCAATCGAAAGTGAAAATGTGAACGTATTCACAACTTATGGGATTCATCCAAAATATCTGTCGGTCAATGCTCAACGGGGGTTACAGCAATTGGAAGACATCTTCAAGGATAAAATTCATCTTAAGACAACGAAAACAGCAATTGGTGAATGCGGCCTTGATGATACGAGCGAATACTCGCTCGATATCCAGTTATATATTTTCAACTTTCAGCTAAAATTAGCTTCTGAGCTAAATCTTCCGGTTGTTCTTCATGGGCGCAGAAACGATGTGTTTGAAATAATGTTACCTGAATTAAAATCGAATTTGAATGATTAGCACAAAATAAACGACTGATTCGTCTTTCTTATTTGTATGCATATGGACCACATAAGAAATTCAATCAGATTTTGAAAAAGACTCTATCGGAAAACCTACGTCGAACTGATCATCAAATCCGCGAGCATAATGAATTAAAGATAAACATCATGACACAGCATCGTTATTCATTGAATGCTCTTCTAAGCCAACAAAAACCAAATCATCCATTGTTGGATACAGCAAGAACAATCTTTCCAAGTAAGTGTCTTCTGAAGATAAAAACTATTCTCATTTCTCTCTATCTGTTCACAGGATTCGATGTTGATACTTAAATCAAATAGTGGTTCCATTTGTTGCTAAACAAACTTTCTTTTTTTACAGCTTGAATTCTGTCGGATTGNTCTTCAAAAAACAAGAAGACGAAGCAAGTGGAAGTAACAGTTGAATCGGCGAATGATGCAAGCGGTATAGGAGCGGATGCATCTGATCGACGTGTTCAGTCACCGCATGGTTTCAAAACAGTGATGCCGCAATATTCGAATATTTCCAATCAAAAATTAAAAGAAATGTTATCAAATATCAACGAACATAGTCATAAAATCGTTTGCAGTTTAGATACAAACGAGAAACTGCAATCGGTTCGAAACATGATGCATCTAATTAGCACATCCTATTACATCTTGTTGCAAAAAGATGCATGGCAGGATCTTCATGATTTTGGAACAAAAAATGGTACATGGTCGATGAAAATATCAAAAAGTATTGCCAGAGATCACTGTACATGTCAAATGATTACTCCGCCAAAGCGTTTGATTGAACAACGTCAAAAAATGATTCAACGTCAAATGTCCAAGACCGGTATGGAATTACAGAAGCATTTTCTCGACTTGTTAACGTGGACGCAACAATGTTCACCTCCAATCGATGTCCATCAAATATCAGAAATTATGGATCAATGTGTTGAAAACGGTCTGCGTCGATTGAAAGATAAATTCAATTATAAAAAGACCATGTTACAACACAATTATGATGACCAGCAAGCCATTACAAAATTTTATTCGTTACATCCTACTAAAGAGCAAGTAAGTGTAATCCAACATAACAAGCACGATATGGGTTCTTGATTTCTTTTTAAGATTCATCTAGCGAAAAAAATATGGCAATCGGTAGCTGCTGAGTTCAAAGTGAAAGAACGACAAGAGATCCTACGAAAACGTATTTCATTACATCGTCTACCATCGTCAATAGATAGATCAGTTGATCAAGCTGTAGACGACATTAAAGAGATGCTTGAATCTTCAGTCATCGATGATGACGAGTGTGCCAATTTAGCATCACGATGTTCGAAAACCATTACACAATTTAAATGTGATATAATGGTGTTAACACTAGCCACAATGGACAATACTATTCGTGGTCATATAAAGAAGGTAGCAGAATTGAGACAAAAATTTCTGTCCGATCACCAACATAGATCACAATTGGTCGCCAAAGAATTATATGACGTAATTGAAGAACGGATACAAACGTTGCGAACACGTTTGAATACCATGCTTCAAAATAAATTGAAGTCTTTTTTCGACGTGGCTCCGACGACACCCAACGAATAAAGAAACAACATCAATCTTGTATTCGCCGTCGTCGGAGCTTGACTTTTATTTATACAAAAATCACTGCTTCATCGCCATTTGTCGAAGTTCAATTGAATTTAACACCATCTCAGATGCTTATGTTTATCAAAGGCCTTCAATATGTCATACCATGTCAGAGTCGATTTCTACATCGAACAAATGAACAAATTATTCAGAAACAATATGAAATGTTGTTCAATACTGTTACCAATTGTCTACAAGATTGAAAACGCTTGTTCATGAATTACATGTCAAAAAGTTATCTGGTCATTTAAATATTCGTGCACGATATGAACATGCTTTACTGAAAAATATTCGACGTTTAATTGATAAACAACCTCATGCCATTGTACGTCGCACAGATAAAAGTAAAGTCTTCTACATCGGAAAACGGACGATTTTCTACACGACACAGCAGCATATATGACGATCATAAATGCTTATGAAGTTTTCTCTGATGGCAAGAGTCCATTGCATAATAGTTTAACTGCAGTACAAACATTATTGGGAGCATTATTACAAGAAAAAGTTATCGATAAAAAGTTATGCAGTAAACTTCTTCCCAAAATGAACAACCTAGAATTGGCTCATTTTCATTTTATACCAAAGCCTCATAAAGTATGTGATATACATTTATTTTCGAGTTCTATTGAGTCTATCAAAG